TATCCCCGAAAATCACCTCGCTCTAGTCTAGTCCGGACCGGGGCGTATATATTAATATAAATAAACTAGCTAACTACCTTATAAAGCTTAATATTAATTATAGTAAACTTAATATAGCTAGGTTAGTAGGCTAAGAGCTTATAATACTTTATTAAAAGTAAAGTAAAGTAATTCTAGCTTACTTTATATAGTTTTAAAAGATATTATATTAAGTAAATTTATATAGCTAGCTTAATATCGTAAGGTATAATTACCTTATTATAAGCTTAAATATAAATTAGTATACCTATTTAAGTAAAAGGTTTATATTACTAAATATATATACCGATCTTATTTACTTTCTTTATAAGCTTAGTAGTAATAAGTTTCTTTTATTATCTTCTTTTATAGTATAAGAAAATAATAACGTTAGTAATACTATAAATATCTTTATCTTTACTTTAAAAACTAAGGATAGAAAGAAGTAGCGATAGGAGGGTCGCTATATAAGCTATAGTAGTAAATCCTATTAGTTTTTAAAGTACTTATACTAAGAGGTATAGGTAAATATACTTTAAATAGTAAAATAATATATATACTAAGATTAAAAAATAAGTTAAGTTTAATAATAGCGACTTTAGTAATAAGTAATCTTAGTATTGCCTTTATAAGCTTTATTAGCGTCCCCTTATATATAGTAGTAGCTATTATATAAATAGAACGTATACTTATAGTAATTAAAAGGGTAGCTAAGATATAAGAAGGCTGCTAATATAATATAACTATAGTAAAAAGGAGTGCTTATATAGCCTTATATAAAAGGGAGTAGAGCCTTATATACTAAAGTACTATCCTTTATATTATTATACTAAGAGCTATTACTATATATTAATATAAAGGGGGCGGGATATTATAAGCTTACTAAAGCTAGCTATATACTATTTTATATACTATAAGTACTAAAGTCTAACTCCTAAGGCGCGGCCCTTACTAATAATATAGTTTATTTAAGAAGCTTACTTAAAAGGGTATTATATATTATTTACTAACGTTATTTCCGCGATTAAGCGTATATAGTCCGCGTAAAGGTTCCGTCCTTTTAAGCGCGGTATTAAGTAGTATTTATAGTCGCGCTTTTTTAAAAGCTAGGTAGGGGTATAATATAAGGGCTTTTACCTTATATAGGCCTAGACTAAGGTCTAAGCTAAGTCTATATATAAGCTGCCTCCGCGCTTATATAAGCTAAGCTTATACTTTTATTTTTTTCCCTTTATAGATTATTAACCTTCTTTTAATAGACTATACCTAAGCTTATACCTTTACTTACTCTATAATAAATTTTATAACTATAGGAGTATAGATATTTTATATATATATATACTAGCGCGGGCGGTTTAACTTAACTAGGTAATAAAATATTAGCTTTAAAGGTAGCTAAAAATAGCTATTTTATATATAGGGATATAAAAAAGATAAAGTAAAAGGTAGATTATACTATTATAAAGTAAGTAAAGGTATATTATTATTATTATTATTAAGATTATACTAGTAACCTATTTAAAGGTATCTAGAACTTTAGCGTTAAATAGGAGGGAAAAACTAAAGTACTTAAAGGAAAACCCTCCCCTTTTTTATAGTTAGTCCGCCCTTATACTAGGTCGCGGTTATAATATATAAGAATCTTACGCTAGCTATTATAGGTATCGTTTTAGTTAGTTGGAATCGCGTTAGCCCCGCTATAAAGTAACCTTAGAAAGTAACTCCTTTATATATATAGGGTATATAGCGTTAATTAGTAGTATAAGCGTTTTTTAGTTAATAATCCTAACCTTATTTTATAATAATATCTTCCTAGGCTCTACTTTATTTTTCTACTAAAAGGCTTAGCGGGCTATTTTTATTAATACCGGCCTTTAGCTAAGCTAGTAGTTAGGTTATTATACTAGCTTTACGCTATACTTATTAAGTTACTAGTATTAGCCCTAGGTTTTTATTTTCCTAGTTAAGGGGCCTAGACTAAGGTTAAGGGGAGGTCTTAATAAATATATTACTAAGTCTAGGTAGGTAAGGTCTAGGCCGGCCTACTTATAGCGGGGCTAGACTACTAGTATATTTATAAGCGCTTCTAAAAGCGCTAATTAGCTAATTAATAAGTAGGTTAGTATAGTTTACTAGTCTAACTAAAATTTAATTATACCCCTAGCTAGATTTAAACTAACTTTAGTATTATAGCTAGTAGACTTCCTAGGTATATAACTACTATACTATAAGGGTTTAGTAAAGGTATAAGATTAAGTATAGTTTATTAAAAGAAGGTTAATAATCTATAAGAAGGAAAAGAAAGAGAAGTATAAGCTTAGCCTATATAAGTATAAAGGCCGCTTATATATAAACTTAGCCTAAACCTTAGTCTAGGCCTATATAAGGTAAAAGCCCTTATACTTTAGTATATATTACTTATAACCGATTTAAACTATTAAGAGGTTAGTAAGAGTTACTTTCTTAGATTTAGCTTTTAAAGTTAAGCTATTACCTTAAAGGTTTATATCCGCTACTAATCCCTAAGAGTATTTCTAAAAACTATAATTACCTTATTATTATAATTACTTATTAATAGATCGCGGATTATAGACTATAGCTTTTATATAAAGTTATAAGCGGCCGACCTAAGCTTTTATTTTTAAGGTAATATATATAATATATTTTAGCTATATAAGAAATATATTATATTTAGTAAACCCTTAGTTATAAGAAGTCTTAGTATTAATATATAGCTTATATATATAGTAGCTATACTCCTTAATTATCTTAGCTATAGTAGATATACGCTTAAAGGTATACTTATACTTCTTAGTTCGCGTACTTAGTTAACTTATCTATCTATAGGTAGTATACTAAACTTAACTTCCTTTATACTCTTATTTATTTATAGAACTCCTTTTAAAAGCTTCTTATTTAGTTTATCTCTTTATTTAATATAATCGACCTTAGTATCCTATAAAAGTAAAAGTAAGCTTAAAAGAACCTTATTACGTATACTACTACCTTTATTATCGGTATTACTTTAAGCGTTACTACTTTTATTAGCTAGTTTATAATTACTTAAAAGTACTTTATACCTTTTATCTTAGTTAGTAGTAGTTTAACTATAAAGTCTATAAATAGGTATATAAATAGTTAAGATAATAGTAATAAGGGCTTTAAGAGTCCCTTTTAAAGCTACCTTTATATATACCCCCTCTTATATAGTCTATAGTTAGCGATAAGCTACTTTACCGTTACTAACTAGCTAGGCTAAAAGAATTCTTAAGCTAGTATCGCTAAGGTCCCCTCTCTCCTTAAGTATCCTACCGCTATTAAGTTATACGTCTACTAGGCTATCTATACCTAAAGTATATCTTATTCCTTAGCCCCCTCTCCTTTATAGTACTTTAGCCTCCTTAGTACCTATAGCTTATCTTAAAAGTATAACTATCTCTTAATATTAATTATATATTTACTTAGCTATACCTTTAGTTACTATTTTAGTACTAGCGAACTCTCTCTTTTATATATTACTTAAAATACCGCTTAGTACTCTTTATCTTTCCTTAGCGCCTTTATCTACTTCTCTTATAGCTCTTAGTCGTTAAATACTAATATAAGGTTAGCTTATTCTTAGGGTATATTTCGGCCTAAGTTTTAGTTAAGTTTTAGTTAGTTATCGCCTTTATTCGCCTCCTCCTTAAGTCGTTTAGTAGGCCTCTTTACTCCGCTAACGTATACTACTACGCTTACCCCTCTTTTACCTACCTATAGCGCTATTACTACCGCCCTATCTTAAGTTAAGCGTCTTAGTAAGTCGGCGTATTAGCCTTAATAAGGACTAAGCGGCCTTATAAGTACCCGGTTTCTAGAATTATTTAGACTACCTACCTTATTTCCCTTTATTTATTTCGCCTACTAGCTAATCTTACTTATAGCGGGATAGCGCGTTAGGCACCGCTACTAGCCTCCTTAGCTAGAACTTTAGTATAAAGTTATAAGATATAAGCTCTATCGCTTATTAGCTTTATCTCTTATTTAACTTCTGTGACGGTCACGGACTGAGCCAGAAGGCTGTGGACTCTATTACGAAGATTCTGCTCTGAAGAAGAGAAAGGAGAACAGAACAATACAACTGGGTGTCCTCTCCCTAAATATGCCTTCCGTACGTGTGGGCCGTTGGCTCAGCAACATGTGGGTCATGTATGCAAAGGGGGTGTGACGGTGCTAGGCCGTCACACTACCCCCCCCCTAAAGCCGTCGAACACCAACGGTGGAGATGGCTCCTCACGAGTGTCGTCGCAGTCGCCGTCGCTCATGCCCACGGCCGACAGCCTTGTTGTCATCGTTGTGACTCTCTGCCCACCTGTCTTCCGCAGCGGCTAGCAGCCATTCTGCCAATCGTACAGGCGGTCCAGGTGCCTCGGGATATTCGTCGTGGAACCGCCTGAGAGCTGCGGCACCATTCTTGAACCCTTCAGCGTCGTAGTATAGCTCGTCAGGGTCCTGTCCTGCCCACTCGGCTCGGTACTGTAATTTCCCCCTTGAGATCCTTGACGACAATATTTTCGCCACCTCGTACTCTGGCTCGCCGTTAATCATCTCGGCCGGCGGAGCTTCCACCTGCTGTCCCGGCAGCGGGTCTCGCGCAGCCCTTCTCAACCGGTCGGCATGCAGCACCTTTGCCACCCTCATGCCTTTGGGTAGGTCCAGCTCGAATGAGTGACCCCTTTTTGCCACGATTCTGAACGGACCCGCGTTCTTAGAATCTAGCCGCGTTGTTGGCCTGTCAGTTGACCAGCCCCTTTTCGAAACAAACACCCAGTCACCGACATCAAAATCGGGCACTCTTCTCTTCAAATTGGCTGATCGTTCCTGGCGCCTTTGAGCCGCTTCCACGTTCCTTTTTGCCAGCGAACAAACTTTCTTGGCTCGATTCACAAAGTCCTTGGCTGCCTTTTGGGCGTCGGTCCAATCCCCGACCTGCTTGTCGGTCGCTATATGAACGAAAGCCGCGTGGGGTGCTCGCCCTGGGAGGCCTCGATCGGAGTCATGCCTGTTGAGTCGTGCGGCGTGGAGTTATGCGCGAAGTCTAACGCCGCCAGATGCTCACTCCAATCGTCTTGAAAATACGACACGTAAAACGTCAAGCGTTGGTCAAGATACTGGTTGGTAATCTCCACGCCTCCTTGAGTCTGCGCATGGTAGGCACTGCCGAATTTGTGCTCTGTTCCCGTCATCTCGTTGACCTTGGCCATGAATTTCGAAATGAACTGTGGTCCGTTGTCCGAGAGCCAAATCTTCGGTAGACCGAGGTGACCAAACACGCGGCGGTAATATCGCTTGGCCAGTCTTTCGGCGGTGTCTGTCTTTTTCCCCGGAATCGTGAGAATCAGCTTGCTCAGCTTGCAGATGAACGTCCAAACGTAGTCGAATCCATTTCGATCATTCGGCATGTCCTTTCCGTCCACCAGCACGGTATGCCAAGGTTCCTCTGGGACGGGCAACGAATGGAGCAATCCAGGTGACTTATCTTTCCACACCTTGTTCCTACGGCATGCCTGGCAATTGCGTGCGTAGCGCGCGAGATCCTCATCCATACGTGGCCAGTAATAGAACGGCCGCAGCATCGCCTTCATCTTGTTCTTCCCGGGATGACCCCTTGATTTGGGTTCGTGGACTTCCCGGATTAAGGCAGTTCGCAGTGCGAGCCCTTCTGACGAGTACTCCGGCACCCAGATACGATCTCCTTCCGCCGGTCCTCCTTGGGAATCTGTTTCTCATTTTCCCGGACAATCAGCTCCACAAGGAACACTCCGGCTGGTGCCTCCCCAGGTACTGCTGGGCCGCGGTCCTCAGAATTTGCCGCGATGTCTAGGGGAGCAGCTTCGACATGTGTCTCCTCGAGAACTTCTGCGGGTACCCGATCGTTCGGGACCAGTTCCATGGTGCGGGAATCCAGGTCTCTGGCTCTGACGGTCTCGAAGTTCTCGCTTTTCCGGGACAGGGCATCTGCAATTATGTTCTCCTTCCCGGGTCGGTATGTCATCTTGTAGTCAAATTCCGACAGAATCTGTGCCCAACGGGCTTGTCGAGATGATAAAACCCGCTTTGTCGCAAAGTACTTGAGAGCTTCATGGTCCGTTACTACTTCAAAAGGGCCCCAACCAGCTCTGGCCTCCACTCTTCTAGGGCGCGGATGATGGCGAGGAATTCTCGGTCTTGGATAGGCCATACCGTCTCTGTTGACGACAAGGTCTTGGAGAAGTAGGCCACCGGCTTCCATGAGTTGTCGTTCTGTTGTTGTAAAGCGGTGGCGCCTACCGAATGCTTTGACGCATCAGTCTCTATCCGAGTCGGGGCGCCTATCTTCCAGAAGCCCATTCCGGGAGCTCGGACCAGGGCTTCCTTGAGTGCTTCAAAAGCCGCTTCCTCTTGCTTGCCGATCTTGAAGATTGCCCCTTTTTTTAGGAGCTCGTTGAGCGGGTGCGCCAGCTCGCTTACTTCTTTCGAGAAGCGTCGGACAAAGTTAACCAATCCGAGGAAAGATCGGATGGCTTTCGTAGATTTTAGGTCCGACAGCCTCCACTCAAGGATGGCCTGTTTCTTCTTAGGGTCAAGGGCGATACCTTCCCGCCTTAATCACCAGCCCGAGGTAATCCACCTCGGTGACGCAAAAGGAGCTCTTCTTGATGTCGCCCTGTAGGCCTGCCGCTGCCAGTCGTCGAATGACTTCCTCGGTCTGGCGCACGTTTTCCTCGGCCGACTCTGAATAGATCAGGATGTCGTCGGCGTACGAACTGCAGTAGATGTCCAGGATATCCCTCAGGCAGTCGTTGATAAAGCATTGAAAGATTGCTGGGCCGTTCGTCAGCCCAAAGGGCATCACCTTCCAACGGAAAGTTCCCAGCCGGCACCGAAATGCCGTCAGATCCATACTTTCGAGGGCCATTCGCAACCTATGGAAGGCTTGACGGATGTCGATTTTTGTAAAAAACTTGGCGCTTGCTAGTTTTACCAGGGTATCTTCTAACAGAGGCATGGGGTACTTCATCTTTGCACTGGCGTCGTTGAGGTCCCGGTAGTCGATCACGAATCTCCAATCCATGCCCATGTCACCCTTGGGCACAAAGAAGGCTGGTGAGGCAAATCCAGGCCAGCAGCTCTCGATGAAACCCTTGTCCAGGTAATCTTGAATCGTCTTTCGGAGTAGTTCGTCTAGATGATGTGGGTTGCGGTAGACACCTCTCGAACGCTCTGGCAATGGCTTGGTCAGGTAGATCTTCATGTCCCTCCCTGGGCCGCGGAGAGGAGGCAACTGGTTAGACTCCTTCTTCGAGAAAATCCAGCCAGATGGCCCAGCGGGGTCGGGAGTTTCTCTTTGATCAGGCGGACCGTCTCGTCATCCTCACCCCGTGGAAGTGGGATAACTGGGCGGGTGTCCTTCGGTGGTACCTTAGGCATCTCTGGCGTTTGCGGGTTCACGTGAGCCACCGTAACACTTCTTCGAGCCAATTCTCCGAGGCGCGATGCACTCTGAATTCCCTTAAGGCGGGCTGTCAGCAGCCCTGAAGTTCCCGGTCCTGTTGCGGGTTTAGAAAGCTGGCAACCACCCCGTCGGCCTGCAGAGTCGTGGTCGTGGGGTGGTCCATCCTGTGGCAATTGACTCTGGTCGACTTGGGTCCCCTTTGCTCCCGGAGACGCTAGTTCATGAATTCTTGGGGCTTGCGCTTGTGCCGAACACGTTGGCGGCCCGCCGGCATTGCTCTCCTGGCCGGCCAGACGCTGGTCGGTAGCAAGGCGACCACAGTCACGGATGACGTCCTCTTGGTCGTCCGTTTTCCCCTTCCTTGGATAGGCTCCGTACCGGAAACAGCGCGGATTTGCTGCGGATTATCGGCGTCGACTCGCGTGGTTGGAATCGTCGGGTTTCGCCAGGACGGCTTCCCCAGACTGTCTCGTCTTCGGCCCGATAATCTCGTCGCGCCTTCCCGTCCTGATGACCAGAGAAGTTTCCTGAGTCCAGGCGCAACGGCGACCCTGTGTTGTTCAAACCATTTCCTGCCAATGATGATGTCGTAGTCCATCCGGACGACCAAGAATGGTAAGTTCTTTAGAGTCGTCCATCAATCTCGAAGTCCATAAAAAACCTCCTTGATCGGGTGTTTGTGCTTGACTCCGCGTAATCCTTTAGGTGAATTGGCTGATCAAGCCTCTTCCTCTGGGCCCCAAGTTGTGAGGCCGCTCTTCTCGCTAACCTATGGTTAATGGCGAGATACATACTCGCTCCGGTGTCTGCAAGGGCACGAATGAGAATAGACATGTTGTTCAATTTAAGGCGAGATGAGATTGTCAGCTGTTTGCCCCCTATGAGTCTGTCCAAATCCGCCGCTCCAATCACAGACACCAAGTCGGCCAGGAACGAGACTTTGTCCTGGCCTACTCGTTTTCCGACTCCGAACTGCTCGAGTCTGGGTCGCAAACCTTGCCCTTGCCCGTGGCGGTGTTGGTTGTCGCTGCGCTGACTGGGGCCGCCTGCTCTCCACGGTCTTCGTGGTTGCCTTTCCGGGTGTTGTTGTTGCGGGTGCGACAGAATGGGGCGATATGCCCAGATTCTCCGCACCGGTAGCACAGGTTATTGATGCGGCGACGTTCCCTCTCTTCCTCGGAGATACGGTTCCCTCCAGCTTCCCGGCTAGCCCCTTCGTTGCCAGTTTGTTCCCGGTGGCGACCACGGGCATTGTTACGGTTGCCGCCATTGTTCCGAACCCCTCGGGCACCACTACTACTAGAGTGGTTGCGCTTCTTTTGCGCTTCGGAAAAGTTGTGGCGGGCCACGAACACCTGGTGCTGTGCTGACTCACAGAAGTCCTCGTAGCGCACTTTCGTATCGTAGACCCTCTCGACCACCGCTTGGTTGACCGGAGCAGGAAGAGAGTCCCACAGGGTCTGTTTCTGCATTGAAGGTTGGTACCCCGCCGCCTCGTACATGGAGTTGAATTCCCAAGAAAATATTGAAGTCCTTCTTCCAATCGTATTTGCAGACACGCAGCTGGGCGCGGGCGTCGGCGCCTTTGTTTGGGTTTGTGTGCGCTGTCTGGAGGACCTGGATTAGTTCGGCCAATGTTGTGAAAGGCCGAGTCAGCGAGTGGTGGCGTCCTTCTACGGTCTTATACGCGGTGCCCTCGAGACGCGTAATCACGAAGTTGATCCGCGTCTTCTCAGAGGCGAAAGTATCGTTGTCCTCCTCGAACTTGCCTCTACTTGCTTAATCCAGCTTTCAAACGAGGGAGTCCTTCGCCGGAGAACATGGTGGTTTCTCTCCCCGACGTTTCCGTCCCTCTCTATAGTTTGGGTTGGTGCCATCCATCGACTCATATCTCCGGAAGGCTAAAAGGGCCGCATATCCTGACGGCCGGAATTCTTCGCGGTCGTCAAAGGCTGTTCCTTCCCGTTGGCCTGGTGTGCTGACTTCATCTTCACCATATTGGCTGTCTCTTGGCTCGGTCACTCGTACTTGGGCGACCAAACGGGCCACTTCTCGGCTGATGTGGTCGGTTAATTGCTGTCTCTGCTCGGGAGACAATTCGGTGAACAAGCCGCTGCTGCCCTCCTGATTGGTTCTGTCAGCCATTTTAGGTCCCTGTCCTTCCTGGATGGTTATGTGCGATTCGATGGTCCCTGAACTGTTTCTTTGGTCTTGATCTCGGTCTTGATCTTGGTCTTGGTCTTGGTCTTGGTCTTGGTCTTGGTATTGATCTTGATCTTGGTCTTGGTCTTGGTCTTGGTCTTGGTCTTGGTCTTGGTCTTGGTCTTGGTCTTGGTCTTGATCTTCGATGCTTGGTAAGACGGGTCGGGAGCTGCGATCTATGGAGGGCCGTGTCCTGTTCAAGTGGGCCGGCCGAGCGCAGTCTTGGCATGGGGTAAAGTCGTGGCGTTCTTATGAATCGCTCGGCAGCGATGGCGTGGTAGAGAGCAGAATAGTGTGACGGTCACGGACTGAGCCAGAAGGCTGTGGACTCTATTACGAAGATTCTGCTGAAGAAGAGAGAAAGGAGAACAGAACAATACAACTGGGTGTCCTCTCCTAAATATGCCTTCCGTACGTGTGGGCCGTTGGCTCAGCAACATGTGGGTCATGTATGCAAAGGGGGTGTGACGGTGCTAGGCCGTCACAACTTCTTCTTTATTATAAAATGCCTTAAGTTATTATAGTTAGTTAGTATTATAAAAGTAAGTATATTTTAAAGTTCTACTCTTTAAAAGTCTAAGTACTATATAATTATAAGTATCCTTATTATAGATTAAGTAGTTATACTCCGCTAGGTTTAGTCTCTTTAAGAAGAATCCTACTAAGTATTATATACTATCCGGCCCTATCTATATTAGCGCCCCCTTATTATATATTTAAATTAGTTTGCTTCTAGGTATATTCTCTTTTAAGTTATAAAGTTATAGTATTAGGCGTTATAAAGGCGTTTTAAATAAACTTAAATACTACTTAGTACTTATCTATCTACTTAAAGATCGCGCCTTTTTTATAAAGGCTATCTAGGTATACTAATACCTTTATATAGAGTAGTATAAAGACTTAGTAGTAGTTCGCGAAGCTAAGGAAGCTCCGGACTCCTTTTATATTCTAAGGTACCTACTATATCTATATTACTTAGATCTTCTCTAGGTTATATTAAACTTTACCCTTTACTTATATAATAAAGCTTAAGTACTTAACCTTATTTATTATAAAGTTATACTACTTTAAGTCTAGCGTTAGGCCTGCCTTTTATAGCTTTTAAAGTACCCTTACTACCTTTTATTAGTAGTTTTAAAGAGACCTTAATAAGTAGATTAAAACGTTATCTATATATACTATAATAAACTTATATAGGTATTCCCTTAGTACCTTATTAATATATTATTAAAAGGTAGCTAGCGTCCCTATTAAGCTAAATAAGTATACCTATTACTTAAATAATTTAAACTTTATTTAAAAGGCTATCTTAAACTTATAGTACTTTACTATCTAAATCTTATAAAATACTACTATAACGTTAAGCTTTATAAACTACTTTACCTTTATAAGTATTTATAATATCTTTATAATTAAGGGTAGCGCGTACTTATCCTTTTTATAATCGCTTTTAAGGCTTAGTAGTTATAGTAAAATTATAAGCGACTATTTAACTTTTAGGTAAAGAGTACTAAGGCCATGCTAAGGAGCTACTTAAGCGGATTAGGTTTACCTCTATTAGCTCGCTTAAGGTCTTCCTTAGTATTAAGAGTTCTTCCTTAATATATTATAAAGGGGTCCTTATAGTAAGGGGGCTCTACCTTATCCTTATCTAGTATTAAGTTAATCTTATAGTTTACCCTTAGCCTATATAAGGGTATCTTTAAAGCCTTTTTAGGTATAAAGAGGTCTAGGTATATATCTAGCGCTTACTTTAAGATATAGTCCGCTAAGTATACCGCTATCTTTAGCTAGAGCGCTCTCTTTATATCCTTTATCGTAATTACTTAGATATTAACTATCCTCTATCTTCCTTTATTATCCTTACCGCCCTCTCCCTTTAATATTCCGCTATAAATACTACCGCGCTAATAATCCTTTCCCCTTAAATCTATTTTACCTTCTTTACTACTTCCGATCCTTATAGGCCTATTTAGATCTTAGCCTTACTATACTAAATCTAATCCCCCGCTACGTTATATATTACTTAGTTCTTCTTTATCTATAGCCTCCTTAGGAATATATCGTAGCTTAGCTTAAGGACTATATATATAAAAGTTTATTCTATATAGCCGTTAATATCTATTTTAAATACTATAATTCCTTTTATCTATAGGGCTAGAATATCTTTTAAGAATAGCCTTAATTATCTTCTCTTCTTATTAGCGAGAGGTATTTATAACTATTATTACTCTCTTACTTACTATAGTATAGTAATTATAGCTAGTATCTATAAGCGCGTTAAGTCCCTTCTTCCTATTAATACTTATTGCGAAGCGTAGCTTAATTTTATAGTTCTTAGAGATATCCCTTAGTAAGGGGAACTAAGGAAGCTAAAAAATAGGTTTTAAAGAAGAAGCTAAAAGGAGGAGGGTAGGGGTAAGAGGGGAAGTAGAAGTAGCGAGAGATAGCGAGAGATAAGACGGATATACCGGTAACGGCTAGAAAGGAGGGGAAAAACCGGTAAAAAGCTCGGTAGTTAAGAGGATATTAGTAGCTTCTTTAAGCAGGATCTTCTTTATTAATTAAGATGCTAGATAGGTATAAAGAGGGGCGTT